CTTTCTTTCTTTCTTTCTTTCTTTCTTTCTTTCTTTCTTTCTTTCTTCCTTTCTCTCTCTCTCTCTCTTTCTTTCTCTCTCTCTTTTCTCTCTCTCTCTTTTTTTTTTCTTCTTCTTATTTTATTTTTTGAAACAGGGTTTCTCTATGTAGCCTTGTCTGTCCTGGAACTTACTGTGTAGACCAGGCTGACCTCAAACTCAGAGATCCATTTGCCTCTGCCTCCCAAGGGTTGGCATTAAAGGCATGTGCCATCACCACCTGGCTTATTATTGTTTTTTTGAACCTCCCCCCCACAGGGTTTCTCTGTGTAGCCTTGGCTGTCCTGGGCTCATTTTGTAGGCTCGGTTGGCCTCAAACTCACAGGGATCCTCCTGCCTCTGCCTTCCAGAGTGCTGGGATCACAGGCATGGGCCACCACAGCTGGCTGTTATTGTTTTTAATTTTATTAATTTTATTTTATTTAAGTGTTTTGCCTCCACATGTATCTATGCACCATGTGCATGCCTGGTGCCTACAGAGGCCAGAAGAGGGTGTCAGATTGCTTCAAACTAGAGTTACAGATAGTTGTGAGCTGTCATACGAGTTCTAGGGATCAAATCTGAGTCCTCTGGAAGAGTAGTCAGTGATCTTAATGGCTAGGCCATCTCTCCAGCCCCCTGATTATTTATTTTGTTTTTGTTTTTCAAGACAGGGTTTCTCTGTATAGCCTTGGCTGTCCTGGACTTTGTAGATCAGGCTGGTCTTGAACTTACAGTGATCTGCCTGCCTCTGCCTCCCAAGTGCTGGAATTAAAGGCATGCACCACCACACCTACCTACCCCCTTTTTATCTAAATACATTTAGTGTGTGTGTGTGTGTGTGTGTGTGTGTGTCTGTCTGTCTGTCTAAGTGGAGTCATTTCCCTCCTTTGATCATGTGGGCACTGGGTATCAAATGCTATTTATTGAGGCAGGATTTGAGCTCTGCCTTTGAGCTCTTAATTGTCTACCCTTAGCATCCCAGGTGTTAGGATTACAGGTGTGTACCAACGTGTTACCATGCCTGGCTACATGTTATTTTTAAATGTATATAATTTTATAAATCTGTGTATGAGATGAATTCATCATACTGTTTAACTTTTATGTTCCTGATATTGAAAATAATAGCAACATGGCTATTTAAATAAGTTTATTATTTTCAATACTCAATTTAAAAAAGTGTATGTGAGTGTTTAGCCTGCAGGTTTGTACTGCATGTGTGCCTGGTGCCCATGAAGGCCTGAAGAGGGCATTGAATCCCCTAGAACTGGAGTTACAAACTGTTTTGAGTTCCTATATAGATGCTGGGAACAGAACCAGAGTCCCCTGGAAAAGCAACAAATGTTTTTAGCCTCTGAGCCATCTCTTCAACCTCAGAGATTCAAAATTTTTATATCAGATCATGTTACATGATGAATAAGATCTCAATAATTGTAACTCTCATTATAATGAAGATAATATTCTCATTACCAAATAGCACAATGCATGTCTTTCAATCTCTTTAGGACCTCCAGCCAGCCTCTTCCAGCCACCTCGGCGTCCTGGCCTTGGAACTGTTGGGAAACCAATTCGACTGTTAGCCAATCATTTTCAGGTTCAGATCCCTAAGATAGATGTTTATCACTATGACGTGGATATTAAGCCAGAAAAACGGCCTCGAAGAGTCAACAGGTAAGGATTAGAAAGAGTAGACCTGTTAATATCTAAGTACATATATTTCACACAATTTTTCTTGCATCATATTGTCTTCTGAAGTCTCTAAGCAGGTAGGCATTGTTTTACCCCAGTAGTAAGTTTATGATATGATCCTCATTGGTTGTTCTAGCAACTCTGCTGGATATATCATTCATTTATCAATAAATACAAGCTGTTTGATAAAATTAACATGTTTTTGTCATCATCAGTCAAAGGTTCCAGAAGTTTATAATAATAGCTGAAGATGTTAGTGTGTGGGAAGTAGAGATGTCTAGAGACTCAGATTTTATCACTCTGTACATGAAAGTGTAATGATGTAAGAATTGTCTGAGAGTATTGGAAAAAAGCTCCAGGGGAAGCCCTGCTTATTTCTAGCATTATCCAAGAGGGATTCTGATGAGGTGATGTGTTTTATGGGTATGGTCAAATTGTCAACATGAAGGTAATACATCCTGTATCAAAAGCATGCACTTCCCTGTCTCTGTGTCCATGTGGTCATCCTCCAGCAGCCTCTGATACTAAGATTCTTGCTTTCCTGACAATGCTTTTGCTGCCAACTGAGCTGGTTTGTGATGTTTAGGGAGTTTGTTTTGTTTTGTTTGTTTGTTTGTTTTATCCTTTTTTAAAAAGTATACTGCAAAGCAAGTCCAGGACAGCTAAGGATACACAGAGAAACCCTATCGTGAAACTCACCCTCCAAATTATACAGCTATAATTTGGCTTTCTGCTGTAGTTTAGTGTTGTGTAAGCCCATGGTTATTCAGCTGGGGTATAACTGAGATCAATCATAATACATATGCTAAAAAAAAAGCTACTTTTAGCTGTTCAACAAACACTGAATTTTTTTTATTGACTTGTTTATTTTATTTTGCTCTGTCTTGTTTTTCTTGAGGTAAGATCTCATATAGCCTAGGCTGGCTTTGAATTCCTGATCCTTTTGCCTCTGCTTCCCAAGGATTTGCAGACCTGTACCCTATACCCAGTATTTGTTCTTTTGAGACAGGGTCTTGATATGTAGCCCAGACTAGCATTGGTTTACAGTGTCCTTGAATTCAGATCTTCCAGCCTTAGCCTTCTGAGTGAGGACATGTATTTTAAATATTTATTTGTATATGTGGAGACTAGAAAAGGGTGTCAGATTCCCCTGGAGCTAGAGTTACAGGCAGTTGTGAGTTGCCCAACATGGGTACTAAGAATCAAACTCTAACTACTCTTAACTGCTGAATCACCTCTTCAGCTCCAGGATATGCTACACAGGCTAAGGTCACGATGTTTATTAGATGTACAGAATATGTAAAACTGGTTTTAGTGGAGACTGGAAATAGGCATTTGAGAACCCTGAGCATATTGTTGGAAAAGCCATGATAATGAATGGGGTCAATGTAGAAAGTGAACATAGTTGGAGAAAAGCACAACTCCAAACAGCTCTGAGAACTGGGGTTGTGGTTATAAGCCACCGTACCTGGCTCAGCACAAACCTGGACTGAGTATTTACAGTGCAGCAGGTACTATTCTGTGCTGTTCTATATCAGCATTCTTGCCTAACCACTGAAATTACAATCTTTTAGTAACTTAGAATGATGAGGAAGGGCATGCCGTGTATGCAAGCTAGCTTTTTTTAGAAAACAGAGTTGTTCTTTTGGCCACATATGAATACATAGGAAAGGTGACATTGTAGGCATCAGGAGAATGAGTACTATTCAGAAGAGAGCGCCTACAAGTACTACCATCCATGCAAGTCAGAGAAATCTCCACTGTTACCCAGCATGCTCTTGGCATTGCTGTAAGCAGACAAGTGAAGGGCACGATTCTTGCTAAGAGAATGAGCATATTGAACATATTAAGTTCTCCTAAGAGCTGAGCTAGCTTCCTGAAAATAGTGAAAGAATATGATTAGAAAAAGGAGTATCAGGGTGGTGATAGCACATGCCTTTAATCCCAGAGGCAGAGGCAGAGAGGCAGACAGAGAAGCAGAGAAAGAGAGAGAGAGGCAGAGGCAGAGGCAGGTGGATCTTTGTGAGTTTGAGGTCTGCTTGGTCTACAGAGTGAGTTTCAGGACAGCAAGGGCTCCACAGAGAAACCCTGTCTGGAAAAAAACAGAGGAAAAAAAGAAAGTCAAAGAGAAAGTGCCTGTGTTCAGCTGACGGGCCCGCACCACCGTACACGGTGCACACTGTGAGGGCCGATGCACAGGCGTGAGCTGCTGTGGTCTGTCCCTGTGAATTTATAACAAAGTAGGGGTAGAAGGACAGGGAAAAGACCCTCCAGGCTCTTGGGGGAAGGACAGTGATTGATTGTCTCTTTGAGAAGATTACATTCTAATGGCCAAAACTTGATAAATCAGGTCAACACTTGATAAATAGACATATCATTTATTAGAGGTTGATAAGTACCATGAAAAATGAAGCAGGGGTGGGGGCCAGACTGTAGCCTAGTAGTAGAATTCCTGTTGCTAGCCACAAAGCCCTTGTTTTGATACCCAGCACCACATAAACCAAGGGTGGTGGTGCAGGCCTGTCGTCCCCACACTTAATATCCAGAGCTCTGCCTAGCCTATGTGAGACCCTGTCTCAAAAAAAAAAAGACAAACTGAGAAATTACCTTTTTTTTTTTTTTTAATATGGAAGGAATGTATATCTCTTAAATTAGCTTTTTATTATTTATTTATTTTAATTTGGGGGGGGTTCAAGACATGCTTTCTCTGTTTTAGTCTTGGTTATCCTAAAACTTACCCTGTCTCAAACTGGTCTCAAACTCACAGAGATCCACCTGCCTCTGCCTCCCAAGTGCTAGAATTAAAAACATGTGCCACCATCACTCAGCCTTATGTTAGCTTTTTAAAAAGTGAGAATATGTGGTATTACATTTATCCATCTACCTTTCTTTTTCATGATTTGTTTATAAATGTGAATTTCTCCCTGTTTTAACTTATTGTAATATTGCTGGATTAACTGTTTATGATATTTGAGTTAGGACACAGTTTACAAACACAGAGCTCAATAAGGTTGGTAAGATAGCGCCTAGAGAGATAGTCAAGTATACCTTTTGCTTTTGGAGAGGACTGGAGTTTGGTTTCCAGCGTACACATTGAATGTCTTACAGCTCCAGGGATCCAGTATCCTCTTCTGGCCTCTCACAAACCTATATCTGTACACACACGCGTGTGCGCACGCACACACACACACACATTTTTTTAAAGTTGGTAACACAAAGCACCCTGCTTTAGCACTCACAACATTATGGATATATCATATGGATATATATCATATATCATCAGATATATCCATGTCTAGTATTATATATTCCATTTTCCCTGCCATTGCATTTATTTTAGGACCTGCATAGAGTACACTAGTGTATATGCAAGACTACTTGAGTAGAGCCAGGCATTGGCTAAAAGATTCCTGTCTAATAGAGACTAGATCAGTAATATTTTTGGAGTGAGAATGTTTTATAGCATTCTTTGCTTATACTACCTAGAAACTTTTTGGAATAAAACAAAGTAGTATGCAGAATAATAAATAATTAGCATTAGAAAAGGGGGTTGACCTACTCATTTGAATACCGTGCATCTTAGATATACTGATGCACAAGTTTCTGAGTTCTATTCTTTTTTCTAAAACCAATCTTCTTTTTTGTTGTTGTTTGTTTTTCGAGATGAGTTTCTCAATGTAGCTTTGGCTGTCCAGGACTTGCTTTACAGACCAGGCTGGCCTTGAACTCACAGAGATCTGCTGCCTCTGCCTCCCTGGGTACTGGGATTACAGCCAGCTAAAACCAATGTTCTTGATAAGGATTCTGATTTTATAAGAAATATCATTTAGTGGTAAACATCCATACAAAGCTTAGATTCCTTAAATATACTAAAATAGTTGTTAGTCTTATAGTTACTTTTTAAAAATTTTTATTTGTGTGTGTGTGTGTGTGTACAAGTATGCCATGGCATGTGTGAAGGTCAGAGAACAACTGGAGAGAAATGTTTTTCTTCTTTTACCATGTGGGTTCTGGGATTAGCAAGTACCTTTATCTGTGGAGCCATCTCATTGGTCAACTTTTTTTGTTTTTTGGAGACTGGGTCTCATGTAGTCCAATTTTGTCTCATACTCAATATTTAGTCAAGGATGACTTTGAACTCCTGATCTTGCTGCCTCCACCTTTCCAGTGTTAGGATTACAGGTATGTTCTAAGTGCTCATTTGTTGTTACCTTTCTTTTCTTTTTCCTTTTTACTTTTTTCTTTTTCTTTTCTTTCTTTCTTTTTTTTTTTTTTTTTTTTTTCCTGAGACAGGGTTTCTTTGTATAGTCCTGGCTGTCCTGGACTTGCTTTGTAGACCAGGCTGCCTTGAACTCACAGAGATCAGCTTGCCTGTGTCTCCTGAGTGCTGGGATTACAAGCGTGTGCTGCTGTGCCTGGCTCTGTTGTTACCTTTCTTAAGTTGTTTTGTTTGTTTGTTTGTTTGTTTGTTTGTTTTTCATTACTTGAGTCAGCTTTGTGACTTCAACTTTTTTCTAGTGGCACCACATACAGTTTAGAAGAAATCGTGGTGACGCTTTGCTTTCTGTTGAGCATTTCTCAAAGCTAACTGCCACTGTCTCCATTACTGTTAAGGGAGGTAGTAGACACTATGGTGCGACACTTCAAGATGCAGATATTTGGAGATCGGCAGCCTGGCTATGATGGCAAAAGAAACATGTACACAGCACATCCACTGCCAATTGGACGGGATAGGGTAAGTGTTACCAGCAATGAGTTCTAGGTTGTTTGGTAATAGCTACAGATGACAGAATGTTTTCCTCTTGGGTCATTCTTTATTTCTTTATCCAGTTAGTTATTTATTGTGGGGAGGCATGTGCATGCTAAGGTCCATATGAAGCTACCCTGTGTAGCTTCCAGAGATTGAATTTGGGTTGTTGAGCTTGTTGACGAGCACCTTTTCTCACTGAACCATTTTGCCAACTTCCTCCTTTTCCTGCTGTTCTTCCTCTTCTTGATATAGGGCTTGTGCTCAGGGCTGCACAGAAGCTAGGTGATTGCTCTACCACTGAGCTATACTCACAGCCTCCTTCACTTCAGTCCTTAAGAGTTGTTTTTCATTGTGACAATAGATTGGTTACACTTTTCACAATTATTGCCTCTTAGCTGATGATTAAAGATAAGAGGGACACTAGGGTTACATTGATTTTGTCATCTTTGCATATATTTTATATTTTTCACATTAAAAATGTACTTTAACAAAATACTGCCTAAATATAGCAATGGGATTTTTATAACTTCATTTATGAAAATGATACTGCAGTGCTTTTTTTCCCCAAGACTGGGTTTCTCTGGGTAGCCTTGGCTGTCCTGGACTTGCTTTGTAGACCAGGCTAGCCTTGCACGTACAGAGATACACCTGACTTTGCCTCCCCAAGTGCTGGAATTACACGTGTGCACTACTGCACCTGGATCCACAGGACATTGTTAAACATTTGTTTTAATAGTAAAAGAGTGCCAGGCGTGGTGGTACACATCTTTAATCACAGCACTTAGGAGACAGAGGCAAATGTATTTCTTTGAGTTCCAAACCAGTGTGGTCTACCTAGCAAGTTCTAGGCCAGCCAGGGTTACACAGTGAGACCCTGAGTAAAAAACAAACAGTAAAAAAGTACATTAAAAAATTATATGATAGCTGGGCACAGTGGCACATGACTGTAATCCCAGCACTCAGGGAGGCAGAGGCAGGCAGATTTCTGTGAGTTGGAGGCCAGGCTGGTGTACAGAGTGAGTTCCAGGACAGCCAAGGCTACACAGAGAAACCCTGTCTCAAAAAATTAAAAAAAAAAAAAAAAGGAAAAAGAAAAATATTAGGGATGCTGGAATGGTGTGGTGGGTATAATCCAAGCCAGACATCCTGGATTCAAGTTCCTGAGAACCCATTTGGTGGCAGGAGAGAACTGACTTTTACAGGTTGCTCTCTGATGTCCACATATGTGCTTTTCCACATGTGGTTCCCAGCACTGACGTCACACAGTATGCCTGCCTGCAACTTCAGTTCCAGGAAGTCCATCTCACTTTCTGGGTTCTACAGGAACCTACACTCATTCACAATAATAGATAATGAAGTAAATATTCTAAAAATTGCCTTTAAAAAGTACTTTTAAATTTTACAAGGTAGTGTTGGAGAGATGGCTAAGTGGATAAGAACCCTTGTTGCTCTTGTAGAAGAGCCAGGTTCAATTCCAAGCACCCATGTGGTGGCTCATAACCATTTGTAATTCCAGTTCTAAGAGATCTGACACCCTCTTCCTACTTCCTTGGGTACCAGGCATGCATGTGGTATACATACATATACACAGGCAAAATACCCATATATACAAAATGAAAAATTTAAAGGTAGGACTGGAGAGGTGGCTCAGAGGTTAAGAGCAATGGTTGCTCTTCCAGAGGTCCTAGAATTCCCAGCAACCACATGATGGCTCACAACCAACTATAATAAAATCTGAAGCCCTCTTCTGGCATGCAGGTGTACATGCAGTTAGAATACTGTATACATAATAAATACATCTTTTAAAAATTTTTAAAAAGGTAATTCAGTGGTGTAACACTTGCCTAGCATGCACAAGGCTCTGAATTTAATTCCCTTTTTAAGGATTTATTTACTTTGTTATGTTTTATGTGCATTGGTGTTTTGCCTATATGTATGTTTGTATGAGATTGTTGGATCCCCTGGAACTGAAATTAAAGACAGTTGTGAACTGCCATGTTGGTGCTGGAAATTGAACCTGGATCCTCTGGAAGAGTAGCCAGTGCTCTCAACTGCTGAGCTGTCTCTCCAGCCTCCTGAATTTAATTCTTAGAACCACAAAAACATTTTAATTAATTTAAGTCAAATTTATAAATAGTATGTGACTATATATACTTTTTAAACTTATTAGACAATCCGTAAAAACTGGCTTCTTGACTTTTCTACATGTTTGTACCTTTTAATTTAATTTTTCTTGTTAAGGTAATGTTCCACATTCATTTGTTACGTGTCAGTTTAAATATTTTATATATGTTATATTTCTACATGCATGTTTATTTAAGTGATTATTTTTGCATATCATTCTATGGTTTCTTTTTCATTAAACAGTATTATCTCCATTTATATACAATTAGATACACCTTAATATTTTTTTCTATTTAAGACAATTTTTTTTTTTTTTTTTTTTTGAGATATGTCTCAGTCTGGCCTTGGTCCTCCTGCATCAAACTCTGATTGCTGGGATTATAGGCATGAACAACCACTCTATTTTTAAGAACATTCACATTGTTGCTATTTGTCACCACCATCTAGTCCAGAATTTTTCTGTTATCTTAAACAGAAACTCTCTACCCACTAAGCAATATTTCCTTATAACTCCTTGCCGCCTGCTGTGGTAACCACTGCTCTGCGTTTTGTTTCTATGACTTTGACTCTACTGAGTGCCTCATTTAAGTAGAATCATCAATATTTGCCCTTCCATGTCAGGTTTATTTCACTTAACATTATTTATTTATTTGTGTGTATGTATGTGTGTGTGTGTGTGTGTGTGTGTGTGTGTGTGTGTGTGTGTGTGTGAGTGTGTGTGATGGGTGCATGCCTGCTATGGTGTGCATGTGGAAATCAGGACAATTTGTAGAAGTTGGTTCTCTCCTTTTACCGTGTGGTGCCCCAGGATCAAACTCAGGTCATTAGGCTTGATGGTAACAGTATTTACCCACTATGCTGTCCCTCTGGCCCCTTATTTTTAATTATTGTATAATATTTTCTATTAAATAATTTTTTAATTTCTGGACAATTATATTGTTTCCAGTGGTCCACAATTATAGAAAGTGTTAAGATAAATATCCACTATGTATATGCCATATGGAATATTCTTCGGGTCTTTCCCACAGTTGTTATAAACCTGTTTGTATGTATGTATTTTTCCCTAGGTTGATATGGAGGTGACCCTCCCAGGTGAGGGTAAAGACCAAACCTTCAAAGTGTCTGTGCAATGGGTGTCAGTTGTGAGCCTTCAGCTGCTTTTAGAAGCTTTAGCTGGACACCTGAATGAAGTCCCAGATGACTCAGTCCAAGCACTTGATGTTATTACAAGGCATCTCCCCTCTATGAGGTCAGTACCTTACTTTGGATCCGTTCCCACAAATGTCAGGCTTTTTGACAGGTTGTTCTTAGCCATGCACAGGTTCCTGCATAAGTAACAGTTCAAACTTGATTTCAGTTCACAAACTGACCACAAAATGTTCTGCATGAAGTATTCAAACCTTTGTCTCTTCAGGTACACTCCAGTAGGCCGTTCTTTTTTCTCACCTCCTGAAGGTTATTACCACCCTCTGGGAGGGGGTAGAGAGGTTTGGTTTGGCTTTCATCAGTCTGTGAGACCTGCCATGTGGAATATGATGCTCAATATTGATGGTGGGTTGGAACTCTATCTGTTACTCTGGTTTTTGTTTGCTTGGTTTGGACCCTTCACTTTGCCTTGATGCTAAGTATCCTTTCTCTGTCTGTTAGTATCTGCAACCGCTTTCTACCGGGCTCAGCCTATCATTGAGTTCATGTGTGAGGTTTTAGACATTCAGAACATCAATGAACAGACGAAACCTCTAACAGATTCCCAGCGTGTCAAGTTTACCAAAGAAATCAGAGGTAGGTATTCATGTTAATGTCATCTTGAAGTGAATGCAACATGGGGCAGGTAATCTGAGCTTGAGCCAGACAGACCTGGGTTCCCTTCCTAGCCTAGATAGTCCTCACAGTGAGACTTTGAATAATTTTTTTTTTTTAGCTGTGTTAACCACAGAGTCTCATGTAATTTAGACTCGAAAATAGACACCATAACATATTGATGCTTATACAAACTTATTGAATGAATTAATAAGGTCAGTTATATCACCAGGCATGGTATCGCATGCCTGTAATCTCAGCAACCAGGAGGCTGTGGCAGGAAGATCACAAGATCAAAGGTAATCTGAGCTATGTAGAGAGACTGTCTCAAAAAAAAAAAAAAATTGGATGAGCATTTTAGATCATCTGGGACCTAATTTATCTTAGCTAAAACTTTGACCTTTATATGATGAAATTGTCACCATGTTCTTGCAAGTTTTACCCTGTATTAAGTTATTGACTATTTTTGTGCATGTGGAGAAATCTTTGTTATCTGTAATAGGGTAGGAGAGCATGAGATTCTTTGCAAAGTGCTGTACTCCTTGAATTTATGTTTGTTTTTTTTAAACAGATTGTCACTGTGTAGCCCTGGCTATCCTGGAACTCACTCTGTAGATCAGGCTAGCCTCAAACTCATAGAAATACTCCTGCCTCTGCCTCCCAAGTGCTGAGATTAAAGATGTGTCCCACTATGCCCAGTCACACCTCGACTTTTTTAAGACAACATTTGAATCTGGCTTTATAACTATTATTTAACTGAAACTGTTATTTTTTTAAAAGATTTTATTTATTTATCATGTATACAATGTGTGTTTGCATGTACACCTGCAAGCCAGAAGAGTGCACCAGATTTTATTTTAAATGGTTGTGAGCCACCTAGTGGTTGCTGGAAATTGAATTCATGACCTCTGGAAGAGCAGCCAGTGCTCTTAATCTCTGAGCCATCTCTCCAGCCCTTAAGTTTTTTTTTTTTTTTCTTTTGTCTTCAGGTCTCAAAGTTGAGGTGACTCACTGTGGACAGATGAAACGAAAATACCGAGTTTGTAATGTGACAAGACGACCAGCCAGTCATCAAACGTATGTTGATCACATCTAAAATAATATGGTTGCCACACGTAATGGTTTATACCTGTAATCTCAGTACTTGGGACTGAGGCAGTTGGACTGCTGTGAATTTGAGGACAGGCTCAGCTGTCCCAAGAGACCCGGTTTCACAAAATGAAAAAAAGAATCAATAAAAGCAAACCCAAGTTAACAATAAAATATGGCAGCAATTTGATAACAGGAAGCTACTATACATCACTAGAGAAGATGGTACACAGTAGTGTGATTTTCAGGATCACAAGAATCTTCACTTACCATCAAAGCTTTAAAAAATATTTTGCTTATATGTTAGACAGTCATTCAGTTTACCTTTTGAACCAAGTATACTAAATATAGATCAACTTGCATTTAAGAATGTAATCATCAGGGCCTGGAGAGATGATCAGTCCATATGGCACCTACTGTGTAGGCATGAGCTCCTGAGTTTGGATTTTAATTGTCCAATAAAAGCTGGGCATGGTGGTGAACATCTGTCATTCTAGTGCCAGGGGCCCAGAGATGGGAGGACACCCAGGAGTTTATCCAGCCAAGGCAGTAGGTGCTTTAGGTGCAGTGAGAGACTCTGTCTCAGTTAAGCTGGAGTGTGATAGAAGATGTTGACCTGATGTTGACCCTGGATCCATATGCACGCATACATGCACACACAAGAATGCACGCATGCATGCACACACAAGAATGTACACATATGCTACATACATATATATGCAAACAAAACTAAGAGTTTTAAAAATACAATTGTCATTATTAGTATTAGTTATTATACTGTTATATTTTCAGTACATGATGACTCTCCTAGGGTCAAGCCATCATACAGGCTGTCGTGGGAAGACAAATACTGCCTTGTATGTTGTGTAGTTGTTTCTCCCTTCCTTTATGCCTTGATGCCACTCTCCTCCAGCAGTGTGTTCTTTTCCTCTTACTCAATCTTGGTTTTCTAATCACGCAAGTTGTAGTCCATTGAGTACTGTGCTTAATATGTATGGAAGTATCTGTACAATTAGTACAAATGCCAGATTCATTCTTGTAATCAGGACCACTAAACTTGTGTCTGACGTGAAAAATATAATCGGCTCTTGGCTCTCCTATGTAAATAGTGTTAAATAAATATATAAATCTTACATTATTTTGGTTACTCAGGAGTTCATTTCTTGTTGTTAAAACTTTGCATTCATGATATTTTCTCTCTCTTACTTTCTGTATGTGTGTGTGTTTTAGTATGCACCCATACTGATATATGTGGCACCCATGTGGCAGCTGTCTATCACTCAAGTTCCAGGAGTCAGTGGCCCTCTATTGACCTCAGGCATCAGGCATGCACATGGTAGACATAAATACATCATTCTGACTTCAAACATGAAGTGGTTCTCCTGCCTCCCCCTCTTGAGTACTAGGGTTTGAGATGTGAGCCACCAGGCCTAGAGCTTCTTTTGTGGAAAAAAAAATTATTAAAAATTTTCCCAGCTTCAACAAACATTGAAATTTCATTGGAATTGTTCTGGTACAATACTAAAATGATTTAACTGAAAGTACTCAGACTTATTTTTTGATGGTGGTGCTGGGGATTTAACGAAAGGCTTTATTCATTCTGTGCATATAACTTGTCACTGTGCTAACCCCCTAGCCCTGACCCTTGTTAATTTTTTTTCATAGTTTATTTATCTCTGTGCTCTCTCTCTCTCTCTCTCTCTCTCTCTCTCTCTCTCTCTCTCTCTCACACACACACACACACATACACACACACACACACACACACACACACAGAGGACATCTTATGCAGCTGTCTCTCCATCACATGGGTCCTTCCATCACATGGGTCCCAGGGATTGAACTCAGATTGTCAGGCTTGGTAGCAAGCACCTTCACCTAATCTTGCTTCCCACCCTTTTTGAGAGTCTTATGTAGACCAGGCTGGCCTCAAATTTACTATGTAAAGGAAGGCGACCTTGAACTCCTGCTTCTCCTGCTTCCATCTCCTAGATGCTGGAATTACAAGCATGTATCACTATGGTTACTTATGTGGTTTATGTCTCTGTGTTTGAGGATCATGTTAAACAAGCTTTCTACCCACTGAGCTACATCCTCAGCCCTTGGCCTTTGTTTTTAAAGTGACTAATCAACATAGGAAATGTTAATAGGTTTTGTTTACTTGTTAAAAGAAGTAGTAGTTCTAAATAGACTTTTTTTTTCTTCCAGCTTTCCTTTACAGCTAGAAAATGGTCAAGCTATGGAATGTACAGTAGCTCAGTATTTTAAGCAAAAATATAGTCTGCAGCTGAAATACCCCCATCTTCCCTGTCTTCAAGTGGGGCAAGAACAAAAGCATACATACCTGCCACTTGAGGTAAGCCAAAGGAAATATTCCTTTGCTAATATCTTGAATTAAATTTTTTTTAAAAGAATCTGGATAGTGGTGGTGCATACTTTTGATCTCAGCACTGGGGAGGCAGAGGCAGGTAGATCTCTGTAAGTTGGAGGCCAGCATGGTCTACAGAGTGAGTTCCAGGAGAGCTATATACAGAGGAACCCTATTTAAAGAAAAGAAAAAGAAGAAGAGGAGGAGGAGAAGTTGAAGTTGAAGAAGTTCAGGACTAGAGAGGTGACTCAGCATTTAAAAGCACTGTCTGCTCTTCCAGAGGACGGGGGTTCATTTTCCAACACCTACATGTCAACTCCCAACTGTCTGTAACTCCAGTTTTAGGGAATCTGACACCCTCTCACACACATACAAGCAGGCAGAACAACAGCGTACATAAACTAAAAATGAATAAGTCATTAAAAAATTTTAATAGTGTTCAAGCTGGGTGGTTGTGATTGCATGCTTTTAATCCCAGCAGAAGCAGGTGAATTTCTATAGCCTGGTCTACAAATAAGTTCTAGGACAGCCAGGGTTACACAGAGAAACCCTGTCTTGAAAAACAGACAAACAAATAAAAAAAAAGTGATATAAACTCATGGTAGAGTTTAGTCTTTTTGAAGTATTTTATGCATATAACTTTATTATATAACTGTTTCTGTAAATAGACAAAGACTTCATGTATAGAAGCACATTTCCACAAAACCTAGCTTCTCTTTGTTTCTTTGCAGGTCTGTAATATAGTGGCAGGACAGAGATGTATAAAGAAGCTCACAGACAATCAGACATCCACAATGATCAAAGCTACAGCAAGATCTGCTCCTGACAGACAGGAAGAAATTAGTAGACTGGTCAGTAAGGAATGGTCTTCAAGATTAGCCAGCTGTAAGATTAAAAAAAAAAAGTTCCTGAGGGGACATAGTCCTGTTTGATTTTATATATGCAGGCTTTCCCATTCCTTAGGTGAAGAGCAACAGCATGGTGGGTGGACCTGACCCATACCTGAAGGAATTTGGGATTGTTGTGCACAATGAGATGACAGAGCTCACAGGCAGGGTGCTTCCAGCTCCGATGCTGCAGTATGGAGGCCGGGTAAGCTGCTCCACACCAAAAAAAGATAACACCTTTGAATTTACCTGTAGTTGTGCTCATTATTACTTTCTGACTTCTGACTGTACAAAATAAAGTTTTGTTTGTTCCCTCTTCAACATAAAAATGGTCTTAGATTGTAATATCTTTTCTCTTTTCTTTTGTTTCTTTTTTGTTTTTGTTTTTTTTTAAAGAATAAAACAGTAGCCACACCCAACCAGGGTGTCTGGGACATGCGAGGAAAGCAGTTTTATGCTGGCATTGAAATTAAAGTATGGGCAGTGGCTTGTTTTGCGCCTCAGAAACAATGTAGGGAAGATTTGCTAAAGTGAGTATCCCATTTTCAGCTCAGTAATACTCCTTCTAGATACGCAATACCATCTTTCTGTGAATGTGCTGGTTACATTGGCACTGACCCCTGACGCACGCAGTGATGCCATCTGGCTCTACTGAAAAGACCCTGCGCTATATTGTAAACTCGAGAATTCTGACTCAGCTTCTGCGTATTTGGAGTAGAAATTTGTGAAGCAATTCACAAAAAAAAAAAAAAAAAGTGAAGCAAATAGAGTAGAAGCAATACTATTTGGAAAATTCTGCAATTCTTAGGAGTTTCCATTGATATTGTACCTTTTCAGGTAAAAAAAAAAAAACTAATTTATTTTTGGCAATTATAACTTACTAGTGAGTTTGTTTTGCTGCAGGAAAACTGGCTAAGAGTTGTATCACTTCTTACAGATACACCTGTGTAAGGAAGTCCATGAAAAGGGTAAAGAAAATCAAGAAAAAAAAGTGGGGTAAAAAAAAGGAATCCTACAAAATATTGTCAAATGTACAAAATAAATTATTCTGATTCGAGGTGTGTTGGTTCACACCTTTAATCCCAGCGCTGGGGAGGCATAGACAGGTGGGACTCTACCAGTTTAAGTCCATCTTGGGCTACATAGCAAATTTCAGACCAGCTAGGGCTAAATTGTGAGACTATTACTTATGTATAGATTGAAGTAATATTTTAAATCCAAAATGAAAAAAAAATTAATTTGGTTTCTTGAGCCAAATCTGTTACAAGTTTAATTCTAAATATACATACTTGGGTATTATAGCATGTTTACCTGTTCTCACTTGAAGACAAGCTCAACTCCTCTTCCTTTACCAGCTTTACTAAAATATGTGTTACCTGAAACTGTGACCCTCTTTTAGTTCAGCTCTGAAATACTTACTGGATTATTAAAAAAAAAATCTTTTAAATATAAATGTTATTATAGTCCCTAAAGCTCAGCTGAACTACAATTTTTTAGAAATTCAAAATGGGGTTTGGAGGTATAGCTCAGTGGTAGAACGTTTGCTTAGGATTTAAGGTTCAGAATTTAATTTCCAATACCACCAAAAATAGTAATAAAAATTCAGACTGATGATCCGGTAGCTTATACAGATTGTTCTGTTATAATTGCAGTGGTAGAACTGCCAATCTATTTTTCGCTACTGCTGAAAGATATTTTTGTTTGTTTACATGTGAAAATGAAAGCACTGTGCCACTGGTTTTATTTTAACAGGAGCTTCACCGACCAACTTCGTAAAATCTCCAAGGATGCAGGGATGCCCATCCAGGGCCAGCCATGTTTCTGCAAGTATGCACAGGGGGCAGACAGTGTGGAGCCCATGTTTAAACATCTGAAAATGACATATGTGGGCCTGCAGCTAATAGTGGTTATCTTGCCTGGGAAGACACCAGTCTATGGTATGAACACTTTTAATGTTGAATGAGAGATGATTTCAAGTCCTAGTTTTGACAGGATAAGCTAGGTGATTCTATAGTGCACTGTGCACTCTCAGTGGTCTAAGCCAGAGATTCAGTCATGTGTGGAGGGTACAGCTCAGTGGTAGAGTACTTTGTTTAGCATGCTCCCTGACCATTGATTTCCAGCATTGGAAAACAGTGAGGGGAGAAGGGCATTGTGATACTTCCTTTTCCTTTCTCCCTTCCTCCCTCCCTTCCTTTTCTCCTTTTGTCCTCCCTCATTCTCTCTCTCATTGAGACAATATCTTTTTTTTTCCCTCAAGCCTAACATATCCAGCTTTATTAAAGATGCTTTCTATAAACAATCATGGTATTTCAGGCAGGACATGGGCAGATAATCATTAACAATATACAAAAACTTCCAAACTCCACTTCTTATATAGGCTACCAAAATCAGAAAGCCACTATAAAACCCAATGAAATCTTCACTCAATGCTTTGAAAAGGGGAGGGTAGCTTAGAGTGAGGGTTGACATTTCACATTAAGGATGTTGTTTAACGACTTTTTAAAAGCCAGCCCTGACTTTCAGGAAATGACATGAAAATGTTAGAATTATCAATCTGAAGATCCACAATTTTTTAATAAAAGGAACCACCACTCTGCTGAGGATACTCAGTCATGTCATTGTAAAGCCCAATTGCCCAATAGAAACCAATTTTGGGGGTCAGGTTCCAATAGGTCTCTGGTTTTAAGGGAGTTAAGTTGATGTTGATAGTACAGTGGGAGAAGAATACAAAAATGAATTTAGAGTTATCCTGTACCACAAGGCATTTTGTGCCATGGTGACTACATATGTCAACACCAGGACATCCTTTCTGGAAGCCAACAGGAGTCTTTCAAAATAATCAGGGAAAATGTTTTCCATCATCAATCCAGCTTGGGAGACATTTTGTTAGTGACACATGTTCTTTCCCCCAAACAGTGAAGTGTTCTGTGTGCTAACATCATAGATTAAAAAAGAAAAGTAAAACAAAATTCTGCATTTTTATAAAACTTGATAAAATATACTGTTTTAAACTGTACAGTCACCAGAAGTACACAGTTATCAAAAACGCACACATGTCGCTTGGCATCTCCAGCACCTTCAGCTTCTCTGCCTGGTCTGTTTTGGTGTCTCCATTTTCCACAGGACTATTTGCATCCTTACAGGCATTAGCTCTCCCTTTCTTCCCCTTAGGTATCTTCCCTCCCTTCTTTGCAGGGGCCTTTTTAGGCTTGGGCTCTGGCTTTGGAGGAGCAGGTTTAGCAGACAACCTTATAGATCTTCTTTGTGGCTCATCCTTAACCTTGGTTTTATCTGCTTTAGCATCCCCTCAGCCTTTCTTTTGGGCATGGTGGCAGTAGAGGATGTCAGCGCTAGACACAGGCATGCAGTGGTGGCAGGCAGGTTTGGTCACTCTTGCTGTTTCTTCACACTACGCTGAGACAAGATCTTATGTAGGCTGCTTTTGAACTCATTACATGATAGAGAATGACCTCTTACCTCCACCTCCCAAGTGCTGGGATTCTTGGAATGTAACTCTGTACCTGATTTATGTGGTACTGGAGCTTGAACCCAGGGCTTTGTACTTGGTAGGAAAGTGTACTCTATCGACTGGGCCATATCCAGGCCAAGATTTATTTCTTGTTTCTCTTTTGTGTCTATTCACAATAGACAGTGGCCTCTGTTCCATATAACACACCCTTCTTACTCCAAGAGTCAACTTGTTTGGTAGAGAAAACATTGGAAGCTTGCTGGCCACCTTCTTCTCTCTGCATCTGGATACAACCAGCCATGAGGCCTTACCCAATCTGGGGGAGGAGGTGACTAGGGCCAGGAAATGCTGGATAGGCCTTTCATAGTTTAGGGAACTGTAAGAAGTAGAGTATTCTGGTGAAAAGCATTTAGAAATATCAGAGTGGGGAAGGTGGAGGTGGGGAGAGGGGTAAGGGGTCTGCTGCTTTAGAAGATGTTTAGTTTGTTTCTGCTGTTAGAAGGGTGACATGGAGGTTTTTCTCTTGGTTACTATCTGAGTAAAAACTGTAAGAGCGCAGACCAGCCCGTAAGTTTTATCAAACATCTCCAGCCCTCTCTATTTGCTTCTTTTGCCACTTTCTATTTACCTGTAATGATTAGGGAAACAAAAAAGTAAAATTCAGAGGGCCTTGTGTGTTCTGAGGAGGGAGGAGTTAGGAGATTAACTCCTTCACCAGACCAGTTCTAAGGGGGAAGAAATCTCAAGGGACCAAGCAAGTGGTATCAGGCAGCACCAGCAGAATAAAGGAAGTGGGCTGCCTCTCAGAGCTGCAGCACAGGGGAAAGCAGAGGCTGCTCTGAGGGTTGAGCAGATGAAATGCTGCACCTGACACTCAGGTCCAGCACTGTGTGGAGGCTGTAAATGCCGAATGTTTAGCACTGTTCCCTTTACTCACAGCAATTAGGTGACTAAGGGAACTAATTTATTGACTTATTTTTATAGCGGAGGTGAAACGTGTTGGAGATACCCTTCTAGGTATGGCCACACAGTGTGTCCAGGTCAAAAATGTTGTGAAGACCTCGCCCCAAACCCTTTCCAACCTTTGCCTGAAGATCAATGCAAAGCTTGGAGGAATTAACAATGTGCTTGTACCTCATCAAAGGTAAGATCATGACTTCTTTTTCCTATGCTATTTAAAATCTAAACTATGTGATTTATAACACACTTTTCAGCCAGACATCGTGGTACACACCATTACTTAGGGAAAAATAAGGCAAGAGGATTTTGAATTCCATGCCAATCTAGGCTGCATAGCAAGACCTTATCTCAAAACAAAACAAAACAAAATTAAAAACAAACAAAAGAGTTTAGCCAGGTGTGATATTACGTATTTTAATCCTAGTACTCAGGAGTCTGAAGCAAGCCAATGAGTTCCAGGTTAGCCTGATCTACATAGCGGGCTCCAGGCCAGCCAAAGCTACACAGTAAGACGCTGTCTCAAAAACAAAACAAAAACCAGATCTGAGATGTAGGTGAGTAGTAGAGTACTTGTCTAGTGTATGTAAGGCCCTGGGTTCTGTTTCCACCAGTGCAAAACAAATAAACAAAACATCTCAAATATGCACCTCAATGACTTTCTTATGTAATGCTTGTAAACCTATGTACCTACCACCAGTAAGACTTAGGGCAGTTTCAAGCTCTATCAAGCTTTCTCTTGTCACTCCAGAGGTAACTCCAAGGACCAGGGCTGTAACGGACTGGTATAGTGCTTGCCTATCATGTGAAACTCTGAGTTATTACAGATAAACAGGTAACCCCCAAAGAAACTACTCTTCTTACTTGTCACTATAGATTTGTTCTACGTGTTGGTCTTCCTATAGATGGAATCACTGGTGCAGTATGCTCTGTTTTATCTTCCTTTTTCTCTTTTTCTTTCTTTCTTTTTTCAAAACAGGGTCTCCAATATAGCTTTGGTTGTCCTAGAATGCACTATGTAGACAAGGTTGGCCTTAAACTCAAAGAGATCTGACTATCTCTGTCTTCAGAGTGCTGGGACTAAAGAAGTGAGCCACTATACTCAGCTCATCTTCCTTTTTTTAACATTGTATTTACGCAATTCACTTAACATTGTTGCATTTATTAGTTCCCATTGTTATGGATTATTTTATTATGTAGAAAAGTCATATAATCTTGTCTGTTCTTTGATCGATATATATTCATTGTGCAGTTCTACAGTATTGATAGATGTAAGCATTTCTCTTCTGTGGGGCTCCAGTGTAGAATTGTTGGTATAGTGAATAGTGTTATAGATAATACATAGATTTAGCCTTAACAGATGCAGCCAGGTATTTTTCCAACCTGTCCATACCAATTTACATTTCCACAGAGTTCTAGTTGTTCCATATCTTTTTAATACTTGGCAGTATCAGTATTTCTAATTTTAGCCATTTTTATTAGAAAAAATAGTATCTTATAATTTTTTCAAATTGCTTTACTCTGATTGATGATGACAAGCATGTTTAGGCTTAATTTTAGGTGTCTTTTGTAAGGTGCCAGTTTGATTCTTTTGTCTGTATGTCTGGTTATTTTTTATTTGTTTTAGGATAGAATTTCAGAGTTTCTTGTAACCTAAAATGGTCTAGAGACAATTAGCTGAAGATGACCCTGAACCTCTACCTCCTGGTTTATTATTTATTTATTTGTTTGTTTATTTATTTGAGACAGAATCTCTGTCCAGATTCCTCTTAAAGTAGAGGGCTTGGTTTGCAGAGATGGTTCAGGAGCTAAGATCTCTTACTGTTTTTTTGCAAAGGATCCAACTTGGGCTGGAGAGATTGCTCAGCTGATAAAAGCACTGTCTGCTCTTTGAGAGGTCCTGAGTTCAATTCCCAGCAACCACATGGTGGCTCGCAAACTATATACTGAAATCTGATGTCTTCTGGCGTGTAGGCGTACATGCAGATAGAGCACTCAATGCAAAGGATCCAACTTTAGTTCCAGGCACTCACATCAGGCTCACAACTATCTGTAACTCTAGTTCCAGGGAATCCAAAGCCTCTGAGGGCATCTACTTATATGAGACACACATAACTTTAAACAGGCATATACGTGTAATAAAAAAAAAAAAATCTTGCTGAGCTTGGTGGTACACACCATTAGTTGTAGGTCTTGGAAGGCAGCGGCAGGTGAATTTGTATGAATTCAAGGCCAGCCTGGTCTACATAGTAAGTTCCAGGATAGCCTGGGCTACATAGTAAGACCTGCTTAAATGATCTGCTTCACAAGTAGCTGAGATAACAGGTATATGCCACATCCACATCTGATGAGAGAGAGACAGAGACAGACTTCTGTAGGGCTGAGGTTGTAGCTAAGCGATAAGCGCTTGCTAGCACAAGCATGTGCTGGTCTCCAGTACTACAAAAAGGAAAGGAAAGATAAGAAGTGGAGGGAGTCAAGGAGGGGCTAGAAAGAGGAGTTTCTGTTTGTTGCTCTGGGTGATTCTGGCTAAAGCAGTCCTCATGTTTTAATTTCCTGAACAGCTGGAATTACTGATGGCCCTCCACGTGGCTCACTTTTGTACTGGGTTGAGTTAATTTTACTGATTTGTAGTCACAGTTTTATGTGGTTTCTGGTTATAAGTCTTTGAAAGCATGTAGGTATTACAGCTATGTTTTCCATTCTGTGTTTTGTCTCTTTACTCTGATAAACAATGGCTTTGTTATTGCTGTTATTTAATTTTGAGGTTTTTGAGACAGGGTTTCATAATGTAGCCCTAGCTGGAACTCACTACATTGACTTCAGTAGCCTCAAACTTGTAGCAATCCTCCCGCCTCTGCTTCTGGATTGCTGGAGTTAGAGGTGGGTGTCACCGTGTCCACCTCTAAATGGCGACTCTTGAGGAACACTGTGTTGTGCTGCTGCTGCTGGGTATCAGATGAGCTGCATCAGCCCTCTACACTGAGCCATATCGCCAGCCTCAGAGGCTCCTGATGAAACCACGTTCTCTCCACTCCAAGGCTTTTATTTAAGTTTCAGCTTGTCAGGCTGCCTCTGGAGTAACCAAACACTAAGGCAAGGTAGTGCTGTTGTCAACAGAGTACTGGTGAGGACTGAAAGATATGGGTATTGCTGTCTATGTGAATTTTTAAGATATCTGCTCCTGAGTTCATTGTCTATGAAGATAATAAATCTGCCTTTTCAACTCCAAAATATCATTTTTATATGAACTCTTACATGTGAAAGTGATTTGAAAAGTTACACTGAGGGCTGTAGTCGGTAGCCTTGGCCATTGCTGTATTGGGCAGAAGGTGAAGTTGAAAGCCTTCCACACAGTTCTCATCTTTGTCCTTGAGTAAAAGTTTTAAGTAACTAAATTCTTCCTGAAACACTGATAATGAGGCATGTAGTTCACAGGTGAAGTTAACCCAAACTCTGGAACCACTTACTTTTACTTCAAATATTTGGGATAATATGATGACCTTGGAGCATAGGGCCTGTTATTTGGTATCAACTTCTTTTTTTATTATATATTTTTAAATTATGTACATGTGTGCAGGGACAGTATGATCTGCACACAAAGACACTGGTACAGGTGCTCACAGAGGCTACAGATGCCAGGTCCCCTTGGAGCTGGAATTACTGGTGCTTGTGAGCTGCCCAAAGTGAATGCTGGGAGCTGAACTCAGGCGCTCTGGAAGCATGATCTACCATCTTAACCACTGAGCCATGCCAGCTCTCCAGCCCCTGGTATCACATTCTTAAGTTGGATTCTGACCTTGTATATTCTTTTTTCTCTTACTTTTTTAATTTATTCATTTTTTGAAACTAAGTCTTTTTATGTAGCTCAGACTAGGCTAGAACTCAAAGTCTGCCTGCTTCAGTAGTTATGTCATGTGTGGATTATGAGATTTCTTTGAGATTGAGTTTCATGTATCCTAAGCTGGACTTGTACTGAACCCTTTACACAGCCGAAGATGATATTGAACTCCTTATCCTGCTGCCTCCACCTCCTGACATGAGTGTTGGGTTATAAACACCACCATATTGGTTTTTGTTTTGCTTTGTTTTGTTTTCTTGGCTAGCTTTTACCAAAAAAACATTCATTCATATTTTCCTTTGATTCCTTTAAAAGAAGAATTGGTGACACTGAATGAATTTATATATTCAACTTATCAAGTGCCAAAGATGAGCAACATTCTAGGTACTAGTAATGACCAAGATCGAGCAAAATTTCTACTTTTGTGAGATTATATTTGTATAGGTGTGTGTGCAAGTAAAAATGAATAAGTAAAATACATTGTTTAAGTGATAAATATTATGTATAAAAGTAAAACAGAAAAAGTAGACTTGATTTGCTTCTCTAAATTTAACAACTTAGAGTGAGTTGGTTTTTGAGAGATTAGTGTTCTGTCCTAATGGGCAAGGTCCTCTTTTCTAAGATGATGCCTGCACTTACCTCTGGTGATCGATTTTTCTAGACTCAAGGATTTGTAGCCATATTTTGAGTGGCACTGTTTTTCTTAAATTCGGATAGGCCCTCAGTGTTCCAGCAGCCGGTTATCTTCCTGGGAGCAGATGTCACTCATCCGCCTGCCGGGGATGGGAAGAAACCTTCTATTGCAGCTGTGGTGGGCAGCATGGACGGCCATCCCAGCCGATACTGTGCCACAGTCCGGGTGCAGACATCTAGACAGGAGATTGCCCAGGAGCTCCTGTACAGTCAGGAGGTCGTGCAGGACCTGACAAGCATGGCTCGGGAGCTACTGATCCAGTTCTACAAGTCCACGCGCTTCAAGCCCACCCGCATCATCTACTACCGTGGAGGGGTGTCCGAGGGACAGATGAAACAGGTGCTTCCATCAGGCCTGGCCGCCCTACCAGCACTCTGATGGCGCCATCTAACCTGCCACTTGAGAGCTGAGACCTGAGGGATTCTGGGAAGTTCTCTGTGAAACAAAATTCCCTTTCTGTCTCCTAGGTAGCTTGGCCAGAGCTAATAGCAATTCGAAAGGCATGCATAAGCTTGGAGGAAGACTATCGGCCAGGAATCACCTACGTTGTGGTGCAAAAGAGACATCACACACGACTCTTCTGTGCAGATAAGACAGAAAGGGTAAGCTCCCTTCCCTGACTGTGTGGCAAGCAAATGTGGTGTTGAGCAGATGTATACAGTATTCCTCCAAAATCAGCTGTGTCTAATCATAATTTGATAAATATACTAAGTGCGGTTGAATTTAGATGATCAGTTCTGGGTAACATAAGTGTTAAGAATGAATGTTTCTCTTGTATGACAGAAATGCTGTTTTCTGGAGTTTTGGAGAGGGGCTTGGGAAGTTGTATATTAGTTGCTTTTATTACTGTAACAAAACACCTAATAAAAGCTTTGCTTTTGCTCACAATTTGAGGGTACAACCCTTCATGACAGGGAAGTCATGGTGGCAGGAGCTTGGCAGCTGCCTGCATTACATCTGTATGCATCTGTAGTCAACAATCAATAAGTGCTCAGCTCACTTTCTTTGTTTCAGTCTCTGTGGAATCCCAGCTATAGACTGGTGTTACCGACAGTTTGGGTAGATTGACCCGAATCAGTTCATCTCACCTGGAAGCTGAGCATGGTGCTGCACGCCTTTAATCCCAAGGTTTGAGAGGTAGAGGCAGGTGGATCTCTATGAGTTGACGGCTAGTTTGGTCCATTTAGGGAGTTCCAGGGCAGTCAGAGCTATGTAAAGAGACCCCATCTCAAAACAAAACAAACAAAAAACCCACCAAAATTTAACCTAATCTAGAAACTCCCCCTTATGTGTCCAGAGATCTGTCTCCTAGACAGACAATTGTAGACCCTGTCCAGTTGGCGTTGGTACTGCGCATCACATGTTGTTTGTGTAGTTTTGAGGGCTGGTCAGAAACATGTCAGATACGTGACAGTATAACAGGAAACTTTAAAGTGGGATGACGTGTGTATGCGAGCGTGTTCATGTATGCATGCGTGTATATGTGTGTATGCGTGTGTGTACATGTGTCTGTATGTTGTGCTGAACATGAAACCCAGAGCTTCACACCTGTTTTTTTTGCTGCTTTTCATAACTGATGCATGAGTGATAGTTCTGGAGTGTAAAACAGGATCTCTTTGGTGATTTTATATCAGTTCAGGGAATTATTAGGATATCTACTTGGAATGATTATGATGTCATACTTACTAACCACAGGCAAGAGACTTTATTTCAGCTGAGCATGGTGATACATGCCTTTAATCCCAGCATTCACGAGGCAGAGGCAGCTGAATCTTTTTTAATTCAAGGCCAGCCTGGTCTACAAAGCGAGTCCAGGATAGGCAGGACTACACAGAGAAACCCTGTCTCGAAAAACAGACAAACAATCGACTATTTCTCTAAGCCACGATGAAAATTTTTGATACTTTGACCTAGGATTTTTCATTATGTATGTATATGTGAATGTATATTTGTATGTGTGTGTGTGTTTATGTGCATTTGTGTGTATGTGTATATATGTGTGTATGTATATATGTATGTGTTTACTTATTTATTTGTGTGTCTGTGTGAGTGTGCATGCATGTGAATTCATGTAGTTGCATGCATCTGTACATTCATGCAGATGCCAAAAGAGGGCATCAGGTGTCCCCCTCTACTATTCTCTGCTTATTCCTTTGAGGTGGGGTCTTTGAACCTGGGGCTTGCATTGTCATGGCTCAGCTGGAAGCCAGCGAGCCCCAGTGTTTTTCCTGTCTCTGTCCCCCTTCAGACCTGGTGTTATAGGCATTTACTGGGACACTCAGTTTGTTACATGGGTTCTGGGATCCAGACTTCAGTCCGCAGGATTATAAAGCACATGTTCCTAACTGTTGAGCCACCTCTTCAGCTCCAGGCTTTGGAATTGTCAGTTTTATGTTACTGTGAAAGCAGTCAGTATTTGGTAGTAACTGTACTTTAAATTTTGAATTTGGTCATGTCCTGGGCTGGTGATAGGCAGTACCATAATTGAGAATTTTGTGATTTTGGTTTCTTTAAAAAAACATAGAAATGTTATGAGAATATGTTTGTTTGTTTGTTTGTTTAATCCTGGGTGTGGGGTTGTGAGGCTGTTTCACAGGAGACTATGATTTCCCTTGTGCTCTAGCAGGGCTGTGATTTTGCCAGCTGTGGATAGTTCTGTGAGTGTGTGACATTTGGAATTGTGGGAACTTTTCAGAGGATATATTCAAATGATAGGGCCCCAAGAGGCAGGGTTGTTATTGTTGGCTGTTGATGGTTGGTTGCTGTTGGTTAAGGTGTGTCAAAGTAGTTGTGTGCAAAGAAACGAGAAGAAATTAGATGCCATGATAGTGAAGATTAAAATTGCCCCAAGGAACTCGACGCCTCTAATCAGCAGGAGGTAGTCTAAGGATCACTTCGCCCCACGTCCTCTCTATCCTTTTTTCTCTCCTGTGTCATGTCAGGGGGTTAATAAGGGTGGAGAAGGGTGGAAGAGAGAAAAAGGAGCCCACAAAGTAGCCCACACCAGCCACACAGCTCTCACAGTGTAGCAACCATCAAATGAGTGAACAGTGGACAGTTTACCGTGTGCTGTACTGCTAAACTATGATGTTCAGAAGGCTATATGGATTAGGTGAACTATTTTATGGACATTCAAATTTATATGAGTTTATTGGATATAATTCCTTCATAAACTGAAGAACATTTGCATTCATTTTTTTGTGGGGGGGCCTCTGAGACACAGTTTCTTTATGTAACAGAGCCCTGGCTGTCCTGGACTTGATTTGTAGATCAAGCTGATCTACAAATCTCACTGAGATCCACCTGCCTCTGCCTCCTGAGTGCTTGGATTAAAGGCACTGGCATACATTTGTGTTCTTACCTGTGAAATGTGACAATGAAAAAACATCTGGACATCTAGCTATTTTTCTAAGCATTTGGAAAGATAAAGCAAAAAGATCATGAGCTGCAGGCTACCCTGACTTATCCTGTCTCAAAGAAAAAGTACTAAAGGTGTACCTAGTGTACACAAAGCCCTGCATTCAGTTTTCAAGACTGGGATTCTTTTTCCCATAGCCCCCAGGTCTGCTAGCCAGTTTACATTAAATATTCATCCTCTAGTTGCTCTAGCTGTGAAGCAGTGATAATTCTTAGATTTTGCTAATATAGATTATCTGAATGCTTTCCTGAAATTGAAGCAGAAAATATCCTACCACCCATCTTTTATTGCCATGGTTTTCTCTCTGCTCCAGTGTAAACCTGCTGTCCATGTAGTTTAATGTAGAGTGGAGAGGAAATCCAGGACTTGGATTATCTACTCCTACCCCAAGTGCTGGGAATGGAACACAGGGCCTCAAATACACTAGGAAGCAATTTGCCACTGAGCTTTCACCAGAGCCTGAATTCTATCCTATAGTTCTGTTCTTTACATCATTCAAGATTAATAGTTCCAATTCTTTACTTTACTTTATACCGTGGACCAGTATTTCCAATTCTCTGAATATGCCTCTTGCTTGCCTAAAACTCTGAAATATATCTACTTGTCCAATTTGCTTTCCTTCCATTGTCAAGCCTTCTTCAGAATCCTACCTCTGTTTTCTGAGAAGACGGGACCTGGGAGGCATGGATTTTCTCAGTTACCTACCTTCCACTTTCAAATGTGATTTTGTGTTTTCTTAATCTCTTTTCTCAAATCTCAAGCTCATGTCCCCATCAGTGCCTTAGACTCCACCAGATCTTTCTCCCTTCTCTAGAGCCTCACTTCATAATAGCTCATTATTTTGAAAATTTTAGTCTTTCTCATTTAAAAAATTTTTAAATTGTAGCTGGGTGTGGTGGCACACACCTTTAATTCTAGGCAGAGGCAGGTGGATCTCTGAGTTGGAGGCCAGCCTGGTCTATGAAGCAATTACAGGATAGCCAGAGCTCTGTTACACAGAGAAACTCTGTCTCAAGAAAAAAAAATTCAAGTTGCACTTAATTAATTTAGTGTTTATGTATGTATATGTGTGTGTAGATCAAAGGACAGGTTATAGCTAAGTTCCAGAGATGGAATGCAGGTCATTTTTTGCTGAGCCAGCTCATAGGCCCTCATCTTCCTTTTTCCATGGCCTTGTCTTGTTACAAAAGTTGTTCAGTTCTTTTTCAATTTCCCCAATAAACATTTGCGAACTCCCTCTCACTGACGACCTTATCTTTTTTTCCTTTTATAAGTTTACTTTTAGGAGAATAATTATTTGACTTGCTGTCTGTACCTTCACATCAAACTTCATACTTTGACTTTCAGGTAGTAGGAAGTTCAAGAGAGAACTAAAATTGCACCTCTTTGCCTTGTTCATCTCCAGACAGGTCAAATTCCCACAGTGACCTCTTAGCTACACTTAAGGCAGCACAATCTTACTTTGGCTTTAGCAAAATGACTTACCAGGATTTCTACTTGCCTCTGCAGTCAGATTTCCTTTACAAAAAAAAAAAAAAAAATTAGATTTGTTTATCTTATTTTATGTGTATGAGTGTTTTCCTTCATGTATGCATGTACACCACATTCATGCCTGATGCCTGCAGAGATCAGAAGGGGTGGGGAGGCAGATCCCTGAGGACCGCAGTTACAGATGGTTGTGAGGGGTACGGCTGCTGGGAACCAAACTCAGTTCCATTGAAAGAACAAGTACTGAGCCATCTCTCCAGCCCCTCGTTCGCTCTTCTTCCAGTTCTCAATTTGAACCCATCCACTTTTCTAGGATCACTTGCTTATCAACTCCAGGTCTATACTCCCATCACTAGATTTCTCTGTCAGACTCTTGATTTGTACTTTTAATTATCTACCAGATATTTTTACTTAGAAGCTCTGTGAGCATTTGTATCAGTCCTCTCAGATCTGGCTGTGTAGTGGCGACAACAACAAAAACCCATCTTTGTGGCTTACAAAGATTCATTTCTTGCTCACATTACACATTGACTGTGGCCCTGCTGCAGCTGTGACCCTGTTGTCCTCCCTTTGGAACCTAGGCTGGCAGAGTCATTCTGGAACCTTGCCAGTCACTGTGGCAGAAAGGAAAACAGATAAAAGATAGGCTGAGTGCTGGCTCTTAAAGCTTCTTCCCAGAAGTAACATATTTTAGGCCATGTTTTATCATCAAAGCAATTTACACAGCCACTCCTGTGGTAGCTGGGTAAAGCTGTATAATCTTCCCTCAGGGAGGGGCACAGAAATATTTGGCATCAGTGATACAGTCTACCATAGGCATGTCAAGCAAACACGTCTGAACCTCTCACTGACTGTTTAATCCCTATCCAAAACCTCCCCTAGTTCTCCTTAGGTTCTGTTATTTGGCAGCACTGTGTTTTATGTTAGCCAAACTATAAACTTCAGAGTCATTTTAAAATTCTTCATCTGCCTTATTGTCCCTGACCTGTCCAGTTTGCCAAATAGTCCCCTGTGCTCTGCCCCCAAATCTTTCTCACCTTAAATTCATGTGTTTCCACTACCCTGGGTAGAACTTCTCTGTAGAGCAGGAAACTCTTAGTAGTCTCTTCATAGCCATTTCTTCTTCATCCTGCTATCAGGGGTTGGGTTCCAAAACACACCCACTGCTCAGAAGCCTTCAAGTGTTCTCCATTGCATACAAAACACCTTCCTTTGCTTCTTCATGTTTTCCCAGGGGAGCCAAAACAACATACTCATTTCTTCTTCCACTGTGTCCTCATTATGTCTCTCATTTCTCATTCCATTCTTTTCTTTGGAGTGACCACATTTATCCCTCTCCTTTTTATTGTTTATGTTAAGGTATACTACAGCTACAATAAGACTCAATCTTTTTAGAATGTAGTTGTACTTTATGGTTCAGGCTAATGCATATAGTTCTGTTTACACCAAATCTTTTTTTTAAATGGTGTTGGACATTGAATATAGGGTCTCAAACATATAAGAAGGTGCTGTCATTCAGCCATATACCCTGTCCCTTTATTTTATTTTGAAACAAGGTCTCACTAATTTGCTGAGGTTGATCTTGAAGTCACTCTGTAGCCTGAGCAATCCGTAAGTTTGAGATCCTCCTGCTTTCATCTCCCAAATGGCCAGGCTGACAGGTTTGCGTTACCAGAAGTTTTTTGTACTCAGCCTTTTCCTTACCCTAAGTTTTGTCAACACTGACAGGCATTTTTAGCTTATAATTTTGCCTTTGCAGGGTGTCATGTAAGTATTATTAGAAACATGTAGCTTTTGTGTTTGGCTTCTCTTATTTAGTGTAGTGTATTAAAGTGTCACCCTTGAGATTGTGTGTAGTAAACATTTTTTTAAAATTATTGCTGTGTTTGGATGTGATAATATGGATGAGTTACAGGTTACTCATGTGTCCCTAGGTTTATGGCACTTCTAGTGTTTTCAGACTTTATCTCATTTTATTTATTCATTTATTTAAAGATAAAGTTTCACTGTGTACCTAAGATGGCCTCAAGCTTGCAACCTTCCTGAGTGTGTTACCATACCAGGTTTTACCTTCCTTTTCAATTCCTACTTAACCTATAAGGCATAGTGTGATTACTTCCTCCTTAGCAGCCTTTCCAGTGCCTTCTGTCTACCTGTTTCACGTTGCACCAAAGTGCTTGTGTCTCGAAGGCAGTTCATTCTCTCTGCTTCTGGCTCTTAGACTCAGCATTTGCTGTAAAGCCCAGCTTGGGTGCTCAAGTAATAATTGTTGAGTTCAGTGTGTCTGGTTTCCATTTCCACCAGGCATCATACTTAGTTTTAGGTTTTCATTTGTAGAATCATAGAGTTTGTTTTTGTTGGTTTGGTTTTTCAGGACATGGTTTCTCTGTGTAGCTCTGGCTGTCCTGGAACTCTCTCTGTAGACCAGGCTGGCCTCGAACTCAGAGAACTGTCTGCCTTTGCCACTCGAATGCTGGGATTAAATGTATGTGCTGCCACTACCTGACATCTTTAGAGATTTTTTATAAAGAGGTTCTGTGGTTAAATTTGGAAATGCCATCTATTCTATTGTCTTCTTAAATATTAGACCTGATTAAATAGTGGTTTTGAGAAATAACACATTAGGAAAGCCTGTGTATTTTTGTGTGTTGCTGGACTTTGAACCCACAGTTTCTCATGTGGCAGGCAAGTGATAGACCACTGAGTTATATTTCTCCCTCTAAAAAGCCTTGTAAACTGTTTAATGCAGTATTTCTCAAATAAACACTTAAGTACATTGTAGAAAACTAATATTCCTAAAGAACACACTTTCAGGAAAAATGCTAGACCCATTGTGTACCTGTTCATTTTATTCAGGAGGGATGTAAGACTCCCTAGTAGATGGCCTGAAACACACACAGACACGGTTTTTCCTAAACATACATGCCTGTGATAGCATTTAAACTATAATTTAGTCATAGTAAGAGATTAATAGCAATACAAGAAAGCCAGAAACAATAATAAAAGTTATGTGAATCAGATGTTGTGTCTCAGACCAGCAATCTCAGCACTCGGGAGACTGAGCTACTTTTAGCTCAGTTAACTATAACTTCGAGACCAGCCTTGCTACTACTAAATTGCAGGCCATCCTAAGCGACATAACAGATCCTGTCTCAGAAACAAACACAGAGATAACCGAAGCCATAATTGTAACTCAGTTGTACTTTCTCTGGTTCAGCTAGATACATAAGCTTGACATGATTTTGAAGGGAGAATTCGCCATACTCCAAGTTCTTATATGCATTGGCATGGGATCCATAGCTGGAAGGAACAGTAATTAGAAAGGAGGCAAATAGACCCTGTGAGAAACATGTGCCTCTGTGCTAATTTAACTTCCTGGTATTAAGTTCTACTGAAGAGCAGAAGACAGAGACTGAATAACAAGATTTAATTCACTGATCTTCAGTGCATTTCTGGAGCCCCTCTCTCTACCTTTCTAGAAGTTTGATTTTAGTGTTTTGGTTGTGGAAGAACCTTAGGATTTTAGAAATTCAAGAGGTCATTGCCTGGTTTTATAGATGATTAGATTGAGGTGCAAAGATGCTCTGCTCTCTTCAAGGCTGTGAGGACTGACCTGGCTCTGAACTGTCTTCTCAATCTCCATCTCAGTTGGGACTTCTGGTAGTCTTCTGCTAGGTACTCTTTGACTGACCCCATAAAAATATTAGTTTTGCTAAGCCTGGTGAACCAGTTCAGAGAACTTTATCTTATCTTGTATTGAAAGCTGTGTGTGTGGCGAGGGTTCTTTTTCTTTTATCTGAGGAATGAAAGTCATTTTTTTCTGGGGAAGTTTATCTATCTTGGCTTTTTTCTTTGTTGCAGAGCTAAGGACTGAACCCAGGGCCTTACTCATGTTCATGCTAAGCAAGCACTCTACAGCTGGACCACATTCACATTCCTTACACACTGTTTTTCTCTTCTCTGCACACCGAGTGTCATCTGTAAATATATAGTAATAGTGATACACAAAACTATAGATAAAGTCATTATTTGGATCCTCCAAAAGGTTCTGGAGACATGTTTGAGAACACGCTTTAGGATGAAAGGTTGGGCTCAGAAAAAGTTACAAAGGGACCCAACTTGAACTCACAACAATCCTCCCGCCTCAGCCTCCCAAATGCTGAGGTTACAGTTATGAATCACCATGTCTGGCTTAACATCTTGAATTAATCTAGCTTTGAGACTTCACATAGCAGCAATCCACTAACTTGTTACCAATTAATGCATCAAAGGAAAAAGTGGCTTAAGTCTGCCTATTACTCAGGTAATTAATTGTATTTTTAAAAATTACATCTTTTTAACAGGTGGGGAAAAGTGGCAATGTCCCAGCAGGCACTACGGTGGATAGTACCATCACACATCCATCTGAGTTTGACTTTTACCTCTGTAGTCATGCAGGAATTCAGGTAATTTGGAAACTGATCCAGATCTTTGACCAATAGGGAGCTATTTGCCAGTTCAGCAGCTAGCTTGAGTAGACTTGTCATTAAACACTGTGTTTAGCTTTGTTAACTGCTATGTTTCAGGACTGTTGTGTAGGGATCTCCGTGTAGGGATCTCCTTGTAGGTATATGAGGCAGAAATACTGTTGAGTTTAATAATTCGATTCCAGTTACTCGGTTCTCTAGGTAGCCAAGTCCTGCTGGAAATACATTAATCCTAAAACTCTCCCTCCAGGGAACCAGCCGTCCTTCACATTACCAGGTCCTGTGGGATGACAACTGCTTCACTGCAGATGAACTTCAGCTGCTCACTTACCAGCTCTGTCACACCTACGTGAGGTGCACACGCTCAGTCTCTATTCCTGCCCCTGCATATTATGCCCGGCTTGTAGCATTCCGGGCAAGGTATCATTTGGTGGATAAAGATCATGACAGGCAAGTTCCTCAGAAAAAATCTCTTCCTGTTGTTTTTAAAACAGCTTGTTTTAAAAAACAAGCTATACAGAAAACTTTTAAAGATTTAAAAGTCCTTTTAAGGGTTAACCCTCAAGGAACAATTAAAACTACATGAGGCTTTGAGAGCTTTTGATGTGACTTTTGGTCCAAGAAGTGCTCAGGCTTGTTTAAACTTGTGTCCCTAACAAAGTCTCATTGGGAGCTACCTGTGGTTTTCACATAGAGCTAACTGCATTTCAGTTCTGCTAAGGTTCCAGGCACCCTCAAAAGGTGTCAGGCAGAGCACCCTGTCTCCAGTCAGAGTAGTCACAGCCTGTGGATTCTACTTCATGCATGAGGGCCCCCACCTAGTTGATTTTGCTTCTAGTACAATCCAGAATTGACCAGAGTAAGTTGGGGCTTATGGGGAAACAGAATGCATGACTGTCCTCAGGTAGGATCTCAAGAGACTCAGACATTTTGACCTGTTACTGAGCTACTAATAAATGCCTAAACAAACTCTCTGCATTAATTTTCTTTCCCAAATGGCCATCTATAAAATATAACAGTTTCTGGGCTCTTCCCCAAGTCTCAATACAGTTGCTAAGTAGTAGACATTCCACTGCAAGTCTATTTCTGTAAGTGATTGAAAAATACGCTATTACAGAAAACACCCAGCTGTGGCTTTGTACCTTGCATTCTCTAATATACATTCATGCATTCAGTACATGCATTTGGTATTGTATGCCTAGTACTGTGCTAGGTATTAGAAAATAACAAGATTAGTAAGCCAAGTTTCTTTCCTGTGGGGATTTTGTTTCAGTGTGGAGGTAATCCAGGTGAATATAAAACTGATAATTAGTCTAACTCAGTGTAGGTAACCATGCAGTGGGGTATCAGAGGAAAGACAAGTAGAGATTTATAGCCGAGTGGGCAGGGCTTAGCTTTACAAAGGAAAGAGCATTTTCCAGGCAGAGGGAACTGTGAACATAAAGGAGAGAGAGCAAGGGACATTTTGGACAGTATCGAGTTTTCCTTGGCTGGAGCATATTACAAGGAAACAGCAGGCATGGGGCAGAAAACTGTGTTGGAGTGAGACTGTCTTTGCTAAGTGTAAAAGCTGTTCCTGGGCTGGAACAGTGTGAGTGGAGGAGGAGAGGGTGAAGCTAAAGATGACAGGACAATATCAGCATTAAAGAGAGAAGTCAGGGGCCAAGGGTGTGACTCACTGGTGAGTATAGTGCTCAGCACACGAGGCCCCTGACTGACTTCTCAGCACTCAAGGGATGTTTGCCAAACCCTATGCTACAGGGTGCCCCAAGGTGGATGTTTAGAAGTTGTGAGCACTCTGTTAGGCTCATAGACTCATTAATGTAGGACATTATTATTGTTAGCAAGTGAAAACAGAGTTGAGCCAGGCATGGAGGTGCATGCCTCAGAGGCAGGTGGATCTCTCTGAGTTTGAGGCCAGGGAAGCCCACACAGTAAGATCCTGTCTCAGAAGAAGAAAAAGGAGAAGAAGGAAGAGGGGGAGGAGAAGAAAGATACTTTTTCCTTGGAGATTTTATTCTAGTTAAGAAATAATACCTAGAAATTTCCCAATTAACAATCCCATTTCAGTTGTATCTAGTACTGTAAAAGAAAACATATTCTAGGTGACCCTGACCTGGACTTTGGAGTCAGGGAAGATTTCTGAGAGGGACATGACTTCTAATTGAAGCCTGAAGGGTGAATAGGAACTAACCAGACAATGGAAGTATTTTTGTAGGTGTTATCAAACACTTGGTTTTGGTGAACATTATTTAATTATTGCAATTATTCATTAAATATGTTGTACTGTATTTTCCAGTTGAACAAACATGTCTAAGGAAACATATATTGTTTGAGTAATCAAGGCTTCAGTCAAACGTTCTTGAATGCAAGACCTGTTTATGCTATTTGAAATAGTCTTCTGTTAATGCCTGGTTTCTTGTTTTGTTTTCATTATAGTGCGGAAGGCAGTCACATATCAGGACAGAGCAATGGCCGTGACCCGCAGGCCTTGGCTAAGGCTGTGCAGATTCACCATGATACCCAGCACACTATGTATTTTGCCTGAGAGTCTTGGAAAAGAACTCAACCAATTTGGCATCCCACGCATCCTCAAAATGTTGCAGATGCCTACTGCCTCTAGATAGTGCCACATTGATTCAGGTGGTCCCTACCAGCAGCTCTGAATAGTTGCACTGAATTTGTACTCTGCAGCGCTGTCTGATGCATCAACAAAATTGAGCCATTTAAAAAAAAAAATAGAAACTCATAGATTATGTCTTCTAATGCACTGGGCAGAATTTTTACCTCAACATGCAGGCTGATCAGCCTTGACTTTCTAAAGGACTTTCCAAGAAGGGTTTCTATGGATATTTTGCTAGCTGTGGTATTCACCGCATCTAGTCTTATAAGCAGAGTAGTTCCTTTTTCTGTGTTCGTTGAGTGGGGTATATGCATAAGTGGGAGAGAGAAACCAAACAATCTGTTTTATTTCCATGTAACTTTTTAATTGGATGGGTCCATAGACTTTTTAATGGAGATTTTTGACTTTGCCACTGTAAATGCCTTTAAGGAGCATTAATTTTTGAAAGTTTTACAGAATTTTATCACTTTCACTGCTTTATCTTACTGATCTCTTCAGGCCTGTGCTGTGCTGTACAGGCTGCCTGGCAATTGCACTATATTTGGCTGCAGATTTGAACAGGCAGTTCTCTTACTTGGTGGCTTTTGTGAATGTGACATAAGCAGATGTGGTGCGTGTCGCAGGGACAGATAACACTGCCGTTTTTAAAAGTACCCATGTTCTCCCTATTTGGAAAAAAATTAGCTGTTAGTATTTTTCCAAGTTTTCAAAAGTGCCCATTTTATGCTGCTGTGTGGTTTGTTAGAGCTAAATGATTTTTAAACTTCTCTCATAGAAAGTTAACTTTGGCAATAAGCATTTTTTAAGGTTCCTCCCCTTTCTCCCCCAACGAGGTAGTTTTCTAGATGATATTTCAGTATGGTTTTATCAACTATTTCTTATATATCATAACCTGGACATTCTGAAACCAGTCTATAAAGACACATATTTCCATGCCCTTTAAAATAATTGTCTTTTTTAAACAAACAAACAAACAAACAAACAAACCTATTTTACAGTCATAGTCTGTCCTGTCACTTCAAAAAAAAAAAAATCAGCTGGAACCAGGATGTTTCCTGATTGGTCAGGCTTTGCCAATGTATAAGGCACATTGAGTGATGCTGCACTTGAAAAAAGAAAAACAAAAATAAGTACCAGCATGTAAAAAGCTTTTTTCCCTGGGAATCAAAGCTGTGTGCACGGCTGCCTACAGTGTGGTTTTGTTTCCTCTTCTTTCAGCCTGAAAAGTGCTTGCTGGCCTTGACTTTCTGTTTTTCAACTAAAGCTCTGTAGAAGAACTTGATTTTATTTTCCTTTTCCTATAATAGATTCTGGATTCCTTCACAGGAAGATAGGTCTCTTTTTCTTGTTTGAACAAAGGGAGTTGATGTAAAGCCAGCATCAGTTAGAACATAGGGGAAATGTGCTCTGTATTTAGTGTAGGTGATACTTTGTAAAGGACAAGCGTTACATAGTCAAGGTAGTTCCACCCAGGGTTCTCAGCCCACATTTTACTCCATCCTGGAAGGACAGGGAGTGAAAGGTCAGAAGCTCTGTCTCAGGCTTCATTCCTCCTGGCTGAGGAGGGTGGTGGGGAAGAGACAGACACAATATGCTGAACACAAGTTTGCAGTCTCTATCTAGAAACCACTGGTGGGAAACACTGGATCAAATGGTGAAGGGTATTTGCTTGAACTTATTAGTTGGTTCAAGGTCCAGATCTGTTAAACGAAACGAACCCTCTCAAAATCCCAACAATATAAAGCACTGTTTCCCTTCAGTCTTTTAAACAAGCTCGTAGATATATTAATGTTTACATTTCCACGTGCTGTTGCTCAGCAGTGCCACCAGTGTTTGCTGAGACTGGTCTCCAAGTGAGTTTTATAATGTCCATTAATTCTATAGCACATGAGGATGAATGCAGACATCCCTAATCTCTGCAGACAGTGGGGGAAAAGCAAGGCCTATGGCTGAAGCACAACCTAGGCAGGAGCGAAGAGACAGCAGATGTTCGTTCCCTAAGATTTTCCTTTTTTGCAAATACCTCACTTGGATAATACAAATCAGGACATGTTGAAGAATGGCTGACTGCCGCTTTTATTGATGCTTGTTCAGGGAGAGCACAGAAGATACTCTATCACAGCCACTCTGGACCCAAGAGGAGGAAAAACAAAACAAAAAGGGAAGATTTTTAGAAGGAAAACCTGCCTGGAGTCTGTGATGTGAAGAACTCTCGCTGGCCGACTGGCCAGCAGGCACCACACCTGCACTGGAATGCCTAGAGCTCACCTGTTAACAATGCACAGAAGGAACTCTCGCTGTCCTCCAGCATGATGGAACATGGAGCAAGCTGGGTGCCCAGAAGCCTTGATCCACATTCCTGCCATTGGACTGTAGGCTTGACCTTGAACAATATACCTGAAACACCTCAGTCAGTCCTAGTATGCTGGGGTCAATCAGTGTGGTGGTGGAAGAAAAGCCAGGAGGCCTTTTTTTTTTTTTTTGGGGGGGGGAACTACCAGTAAGGGTGTGATACTGTTGTTTTGGACAAATGGAAAGAAATATGGAAGAGGTAGGATTAAAGAGTTGGGAAAAAACTTGCTGAGGGGTGAATAGTTAAGAGGTGGTTACTGCAAAATCAGAACTGCAGTAATACCATTGCAAACAATTAAAACATAGTTTTAATTAGGGTTGACAGGTAACCCCTCGAAACTGACCGAATTGTTATGCATGTGTCAATCAATGGGAGGTGTGCATTCTCTAGAAGTAGTGTTAGGCTGTTCAATTTTTTTAACGCAGCCTATTTAGGTGCTGTCAGATAGTGTGGAAGATTTTGGTGTAGCAACAGTAAAGAATAACAATTTGGGGCTAGGGAGCACAGGGCTGAGAGTGGGAAAGACCCAAATGTTGAACCAATTATGTTTTGTTGTTGTTGTTAGATGTTGAATCCTGAGCTGTTTATAAAGTGAACCAGCTGGCTTGATGCAGCCAGTGTTCTGGGTAGGCGAACCACATTGATTCTTACTGTAAATTCTCTATGCTGCTTCCAAAGGTGATTATTTACAAGCAGGCATTTCTGAATTGTCTGTACTTTAGGGTGTGGTGCCTAGCCTATCTCCTATTTCAGAGCTTACCTATCTGGCTCAGCTACCTACTTCTTCCCAGGAAAAAAAGTAATCTACTGTTTTAACAAGGATCCCCCTCTCTAGTTACCCACCCCTGTCTCCCAGACATGCTGTAAGATTCTCTTGCTCAGTAGCAAGGTGGCAGCTCTGCTTTCATTTTAAGAAAGCAGAGGTTACAGGCATCATATTAATACTGCTTCAACTTTTTTTCTTGTAAAATTAAAGGAAAGGTATTTATTTTATTGATCAACCATTTTCTTTTTTTTTAAATTTTTTATTAATTACACTTTATTCATTTTGTATCCCCCCATAAGCCCCTCCCTCCTCCCCTCCCGATCAACCATTTTCTTATCCCTTGCTGTTGGCATATTCATATTCTTTCTGTGTCTACTGGCTGAAAATGTTTGTGTTTGTTCATCTGACTGATAGTATGGTTTTTGTTTCTATATTGGTAGACTTGTAATGTTTTAAAATGTATTTTATTAATTTGGCCTGGATGTCTGTCGCCAGCAATACGAGGTACTTTCCAAGCTGTTAAGGAAGGGTTTGTATCCCTATGTCAGATAAAATAATGGTTGTTTAAATTTTTCAGAGTTTTTGTTGTTGGTGGTGGTATTTTTTTTTTTCAGGTTTTTGGGGGGCCTGCAGGGATATTTTGTGTTCATGTGTCCAAAAAGGGGGAAGGGGATAGATTGGCATTCTTGTGCTAAAAGTTGTTTTTCTTGTAAGTTGTGTAATAAATACGGAATATACTGTACTGGCATCATGCATGGCTACTTTAAACAGTATTGTTTATTTGGGAAAGTGGACAAAAAAAGAAGTGAGACAACTGTGTGTTTAACTTCTGGGTCTCCTTATATTTAGGAATTGCCATTTGGGAATTTTTGAAGGACTCCAGTAACATTTCACATATGGAAACTTTGACAAGATTCATCAGGGTTCTAGGTACTGCTCTCAATGGGAAGCTCTGGTTAAATGATATCTTAAGGAAACACTGAGAGAGTCCCAGAATTTAGGAGACCAAGGCAGGAAGATTGTTTTGATTCTGAGTCTAGCCTAGGCCTTAAAGTGGGACCCTGTGTGTTAGCTGCTCTTCTCTTTGATGGGATAAAACGGTACCAGGAATGGCCTAAAGGAAAATTGTTGTTGTTGTTGTTGTTTTCTTTGCTTATGGTTCTAGAAGGAGAGTCCACAATGGTGTAGGAAGCAAAGCATGGCAGCAAGGCAGCCTCAGTAGGAAGCTGAGGAATCACATCTTTAACCACAAGCATGAAACAGAGAGTGACCTAGAAATGAGACAAGGCAAGGTTCATGCTCCCAGGATGAACTTTCTCGGGCAAGGCTACACTTTCCATGGCTTCCCTAAACAGCGCCATCTACTGGGAACCAAGCGTCCAAATGCCTGAACCCCTGGGGGACACTTCTCAGTCAAACCACTGCACCAGGTCTAAGAAAGCAAACAAACCAAACCAAAACAAATGTCCCAAGACGGTGGCCAGATGCTTATTGTTATGACTAAATTTTCTAGAGCATCTCCCCAAATTCACCCAAAACACAGAGTCTCCAGTCTCTTGTCTTCTTTGCTTTGGGGGCAAGGTCTCTCTGTGTAGGTCAGGCTGATCCTGAGCTCTTACTCCTGCTCCAGTCATCAGAGCGCCAAGATTACTGACATGAACTACCATGCCCAGCTCATGACTTCTGAAACTTTCAACAGTAAAGAGTTGTAACAATAATGCAGAGATTTGCCCAATCTGAACTTTATTCTCAGAGAATTTAGTTTATCAGGAAAGAAAGTCCTGCATGCAATGAACTTCTGAGAAGGTAGGTTTTGGTTTTTGTTTTCCATCGGCACAATTTCTTCTCCTTATTTGTCAGCTATCAAACACACATCACAAATGAGGTATGTGCACTCTCCACCTAGATACTTAGAACACGGGAGAGTTACCTTCCTCAAACAGTTCATTCTAGAATCGGAAGAGAGGGACCAGGGAGTAATGATTCTGCCATACAAGCATGAGGACCCACATGAAAGCCAGGTGGGCATGGAAACTAGCTTGTCATCAGCAATAAGGTGGAGACAAGGAATTCCAGGAGCCAGCTTGTTAACTAGAGTAGCCACATTGGTGGCTATTTTGAGACTCAGCCTCAATGAATAATGTGGAGAATAAAGGATACTCCCAACGTTAGCCTCAAGCCTCCATATGCACATAATAGTGCACACATGTTCACCTATACATATGTGAACATGCACACACATCACAGACACATGCATAGTTGACTAGGCATAGGGTAGAGGAAGAGGTGGCACAGTTATATGAATGCCCATTCGTCAGGCACTTAACAGGTGCATCATCTTAGCATCACCCTTTTTAGGTTGAGAGTGGAATTCTCACTCTCAAGTAAAAACAAAACAAAACTGCTGGGTAAGGGACAAGGTTCATTCATGCAGTGTGTGCACATGGCCACATGTCCAGTCCCTAGCATGGCAAAAATAAAGTCAGCCGCTCAAGCTTCTGAGAGGTTAAATACACAGTCACTGAGTGGCAAAACTATAATTCGAATACATGACTGTTTAATTTCATGGCACCTACTGTTGAGCATAAAATGACAGATTTTCTGAACAGAAAGCAGCATTGCCATGGGAGTCAAGAAGGATTTTAGAGTATTATTAGCAGCTGTGGGACAGGGCATGAAGCACAAGCAGGCTGAGAACATGGACTGGGGAACTCCAGGCTCACTACTTCCTCATAGCATAGAGTAGCTATAATTGTCTGGATATGTTTTAGTTGTTGGGTTTTGTTGTTTCTGAGACAAGGTTTTTCTGTATAGCCCTGGCTATCCTGGAACTTTCTCTGTACATCAGGCTGGCCTCAAATTCAGAGATCCACCTGCCTCTGCCTCCCGAATGCTGGGATTAAAGGCATGTGCCACCACCATCTGGGGTATTTTTAAAAAGAGAAAAGAACAATTATGAACTTACCAAGGAAAAGAAGAAATGTTTAGAACTGTTTAAGAAACATTTTCAGAAGAGCTGAGCGTAATGGCACATGCCTTTGATCCCAGCATTGAGGAGGCAGAGGCAGACAGATTTCTGAGTTTGAGGCCAGCTTGGTCTACGGTAGTGAGTCCAGGACAGCCAAGGCTACACAAAGAAACCCTGCCTTAAAAATAATTAATAAATAAATAAATAAATAAATAAATAAATAAATAAATAAATAAATAAAGCAAAAACAAAACAATAGAAGCATTTGCAGGGCTTCTGTTAGGGGTAAGAATTACAAAGATGAACAATATGAGCTCTGGCCATTGAGTTTGTTTAGGAGGCTCCGGGTGAAGCATACAGTTAAAGAGGTAACTTAAGAATGCTCTCATAGAGTTATGATATTTCTTAGGGGACCTTCAAGGAAGCTTTTTACCCCCATTCACTTATTGGGAGTGCCTGTCAGGCAAAGAAAACTTGCAGAAGTTGGTTCTTTCCTTCCACCAGTATGATTTCTGGGAGTCAAGCTCAAGTCACCATCCTTGGCAGCAACACCTTCACCCACTGTGCCATCCCACTGGCCTAAGGGATGCTTTTTAGAAGAACTGATGAGTTAGCTGTCTTCTATGTAATAGTTTTTATGAGGCAGAAGGATTGCTGTGAGTTTTTAGCTCAACCTGGTCTACAAAACAAGTTCTAGTCCAGCCTGAGCTATCACACTGAGAACCTTCATATAAATACAGTGATGTAAAACTGTTCAGCCATGGAAAGAATGGCTGAGGGCTGGAGAGATGGCTCAGTGATTAAGAGCACTGACTCCTCTTCTAGAAAAATACAGGTTAAATTCCCAGCACCCACAAGGTGGCTCACAGTTATTTCTAAGTCCAGTTCCAAAGGATCCTTTGCTTTTCTCTGGCCTCTGTGGGCACCAACCACAAACATACACTTGGTACACAGACATATGTGCAGACAAAAACACCCACATAAAATTTTTAAAATGGCTGAAATCCTGTCTTGTTGACAACATGGATGGGAATGATAATCCATAGGTTAAACAATGTAGGTACAGAAAGGCAAGCACAGTATAACCTCATCTGTGCGCAGAATGTAAACTAATTTGTCTCTTAGAAGTAGAGTGGGATGCTAGGAACAGGTTACGGTTAGGTGACTATCATTAAATACAGAGTTCCAGTTAGGTGGGATTATCACAAAAGCCCTATTGTACAGCGCGGTGGGAGTTGGTTTATTTCTTAAAAATCACCAAGAAAGCCAACCTTTAAGCATTCTTGCCACAAAGATGCTAGAAGCCAGAAGAGGGCTCCAAAATTCGTGGAGCTGGAGTTACAGGAGGATTGCGAGATGCCTAACGTGGGTGCTTGGGAATGGAGTCCGGGTTCTCTTTAAGAGTGGTATATGCTTTTAACAGCCGAGCCATCTCTCCACCTCTGCTTCTCCCACCATCCCTTTTTCACTGTAGTGCAAGCGATTGAACTCATAACCTCAGCCTAGTTTCTTAGAGCTTAAGGGTTGGAGGAGAAGAAAGTGGAGGTGATAAGGTTGGAGACGGGTTGGATGCCAATTCATTACAGGACAGGACTTGAATGACATTTTAAGGAGTTTAGAGATTGTCTTATATACACAGACTCTGCTCCCTTCTAGTTTTGTTGGCAAGAATATTGCAGCAGCTGGAAGCTGAAATTCTGCTAAGAGAAGCTCAAGCTTCTCTTTTCATAAGCAAAAGTAGATGAGAGTTGAACTTGAGCAGCAAGGTTCAGTTAGAAGAAAGAGAGATGAGGCAGAAAATAGAAAAGGCCTTGGTGGCTAAGTGGATATGGGAAGTGAGGGGAGGGAGGGAGACTCATCAGGAGGGATTCCAGCCTCTGGTCCGGGTAGCTGGGTAAAGAGTGCGCCTACGAGGAAGAACATAGAGAAACAACAGGTTTATGGGGAGGAAGGTGGCAAGTTCAGTTTCAGGCAAGTTGTACTTGAGGGCCAGTCATTTGAGGAGAAAGGCAACGGACATCAGGATGTCAGTGCTGATTAAAGTCATTCAAATATGGTAGCAGGAGGATCATGCAGATGAGATGAAAAGCATGGAGCCCTGAGGAACTCAGATGTTTAAAGGCAGACAAAGGAAGAGTAAGGAAGAGACAAAGAGAGAACCAATTGTCCTAAAAACTAAAAGAAAAGAGGATTTCTTGCCAGGTATGGTTGTACACACTTAAAATCCAAGTACTCAAAAGGCAGAGGCAGGAAGTTTTAAGTTTAAGGCCATCCTGGTCCATGTAATAGGTTCCAGGCCGGGAACCCAAACAGGAGGAGAGAACCAGTTCTTGTAACTTGCAAATTATCCTCTGACCTCTTACACACACACACACACACACACACACACACACACACACACACAC